GAAATGTTCCCCCGCCTCTCTGAGCCCCGGGGTGTTGGCCTTGGAGTCCTGTGTGTGATGGCTGAGCGGGGGAGCACTAATAGCAGCGGCAACGGGGGGGAGGGGTGCGAAATGCTCCCCCGCCTCTCTGAGCCCCGGGGTGGTGGCCTTGGAGTCCTAGGGGCAAATTCCACCTCTCGCATGTGATGGCCGAGTATTGCCGCTTGGCCATCACACGCAAGAGGTCATTCTGGCTCCCCCAGGTCTTGTTAGGGGCTCTTTAAAAAGTTATGGCTGCTGCACAGCAGCAGCGCTAATGGCAGCAGCAACGGGGGGAGGGGTGCGAAATGTTCCCCCGCCTCTCTGAGCCCCGGGGTGGTGGCCTTGGAGTCCTAGGGGCAAATTCCACCTCTCGCATGTGATGGCCGAGTATTGCCGCTTGGCCATCACACGCAAGAGGTCATTCTGGCTCCCCCAGGTCTTGTTAGGGCTCTTTAAAAAGTTATGAGGATCTATGTAGATCCGACTTTTACCCTTTTCCCAAATGATGCAAGAAGGGTACAAAATGGTGGCCAAACTCTTACAAGGGGAAGAAATTTGGAAAGTTTGGAAAAAACTGCAGGGCATTTGCAGCCTGCCACAAGAGACCTGAAAGGGCAAAACAAGGAACACAGGGCAGAGCCCTCGGTCTCCCTGGCCTGTGCACACTTCTTGATCTTTCCCCCTTGTTAGCTTTCTTCTTCATCTCTTTTGTTCCCCGCTTACTCTGGTGGATGACTTGGTTGTAGCTACAGGTACCGACTACCAATGCAATCAGGCTGCGGTACAGCGCAAGAGGGGTGCCTCTGCCACCTGCAGGACCTGGTTGGACTCGCACAGCCGGGGCATGCAATCCTGCCGCTGTGCCCAAAACGGGTTGCAAGGGCGAACCCACAAGAAACAGCGTGCCAGAACTTCCTCCCCCTCCTCCTCCTCCCCCGGCGAGCGCAGCCTGGAAATCCCTAATCGAAGTTTTTATATCTCAGAATCTGAAACCACGAGCCCGGTAGCGTATTCCAGCACACACCGAATCAATTCAATAATTTAACGCCCCCCTCCCTTAGAATGCGACTTTTCTTGCTCGTTACTGTCACCAGTTCAAGACTGCCTTATGCAGACATCCCTGCCTTCCAGAACCGCTCGCGACTACAGACTAATCACAGCAACCTTCCCTAAGCTACTAACTGCCCTCAATACCTCAGCGGGAATGACGTCAGCCAGTTAACCCGAATCTATGTCTCGCGAGACTAGCACTTCTAGTTCTCGTAAGATCCGGAAGGGGTGGGTCTTTTCCGCCTCTGCCGAGACGCCAAGATGAGGTAGATGTCTTTTCTCTTTGGGGGCTGTTCATTGTAATCTGTTGCCATCCACGTTTCGACGGGCCCACTCGGTCACGAGAGTACCTTAGGATGGCAAATAAACAAAAGGAGGAGCTCCGCTACGAGAAGAGCGGGCTTATGGCAAGCGCCTAAATTGTAGGGCTCTTATTGCAGTACTTTGTGGATATCTTTTTATACGGATTGCTCATTGAGGCCCTATTAGAAGGTTAAAGGGTGGATCCCCCCCCCCCCATATAAGATTCGTCTATGGATCTAAAGGCCTGGTTTGCACATGTGGGAGAATGACAACGCACAGCACCATTTCGGATTGCAGGGGGAGGATCACGTTTTTGAATTATCTCCGATGCTAGAATATTTAATGTGAAGGAAAACTTAGAGCTGCATCCAGCACTTGCGCTTTGAAATGGAGCAGCACTTTCTACTACCTTGTTTGTCTGCATGTCTGAATCAGGTCACGGACGACAATCCTAAATATATGGAAACAAGTTAAGGGGAAGGGCCGTGGCTAGCGGAACAGGATCTGCTTTGCATGAAGAAGTCCTAGGTCCAATTCCTAGGGTCTCTAGCTAAACGATCCCGTAGTAGGTAATGTGAAGGACCTTGCCTGAGACTCTGGAGAGTTGCTGCCAGTTAAAGGCAGCTTCATATGCTCAAGTTCAATTGAATTCAGTGGGCTTTTGCCTTCATGAAAATGAGGACTAGTGCAGAATCAGGTTGACTTGCTTTTGAAATGCAGCCATTCCCTGCAGCTTTTTGGCCATAGAAGGGCCCACCTGGTGCAGGCCTTGCTGCTGAAATATAGAATAATAGAGTTGAATGGTCATACAGGTTTTCTAGTTCAACCCCTTGCTTCATGCAGGATCAGCCTAAAGCATCCCTGGCAAATATTTGTCCAGCTACTGCTTGAAAACTGCCAGTGAAGGAGAATTCACCATCTCCCTGAGCAGCTGATTCCGCTGCTGAACTACTCTTACTGGGGGGGGGGATTCCCTAATATCCAGCTGGTACCTTTCTTCTGTAATTTAAACCCATTGTGAGTCCTGTGCTCTTCTGCCAACAGGAACAGCTTCCTGCCCTCCTCTAAGTGATGGCCATTCAGATAGTTAAAGAGCGCAATCATGTTCCCCCCTTAGCCTTTCCTCATAGGGCTTGGTCTCCAGGCTCCTGATCATCCTCATCACTTTCTTTTGCACCTGCTCCTTTCTGTCCACATCCTTTTTGAAATGAGGACTCCAAAACTGCACATGGTAGTCCAGGTGCAGCCTGACTAATCGTGTACAGCAGGACTGTGACATCTTGAGATCTGGATGTTATGTGCCTGTTGATACACCCCAAGACTGCATTAGCCTTTTTTTTGCTGCTGCATCACAATGACTGCTCATATTTAGCTTGCCATCCACACACAGCTACCAAGAAGTGTATCCCCCATCCCGAATGCATGCTTCTCATTCTTTTTACCCAGGTGTAGAGCTCTGCACATCCTTATTGAATTCCATCTTGTTCACATCCTCCCAGTTTTCCAGTGTGCTCAGATCTCATTGAATTCTATCTTCCGGAGTGTTTGCTACACCTCCCAATTTGGTGTCATCTGTGATGTAGGGCTTGTTTCTCTTTTAAAGTCTTGGCGAAGCTTTAGTGAGTCAAGGGAGGGTAGGTGGAATCTGGTGTGATTGCAAAACCTAAATAAATGTTGCATCTTACTGTGTACCTCTCTTCCCGTTGAATGAAACTAGCATTGGGTACTTGAGAGCAGTATATGTGGCAACATGGTGACATTATGTCCTTGCAGCATTCTTATTGGAATCTAAAAACTGGTCAATGTATTCATCAAGGTTAGATCAGGCTTTATACATGTGGTAGGAGATGTATACCATCACTCCCTGCATTATGCACACAGGATTGTTCATATAAGTTTGTGTCAAGCTTGAGGGGGCTCCTAAGGAAAAACAATACCATAAAAACACAGACATACATCAGTATGAAAAACAAGCCATACCTGTTGCTAGAGCCTGCACCAGTCCCAACTATTAACAACATTTGAGTCTGGAGTATTTAACAGTAATAAATGTTGTGTGCTTATACTAGGGTGAAGCGAAGTTCCTGCTAACAATACACATGGGCTTACTGTTCTTTTCTGACAGGCTCAATGTTTGGTATAATTCATAGTGCATTTAATAGAAATGCATTTCCTTACAAGTCTTGAGGTTTTTAAATCTTGGGGTATCTTGCCAAGCACTGCCCCAGCAGCAAACTCTGATAAGAACGGTTAGAAATATTTTGGGGTTGCTGAAATTCATTAAAGTGATTTTTCTCTCTCTTGAAAACCAATACAAAGAGCTCTCAGGGCTGGTCCAAAGATTACCCACAGCGGTTGTGAAAATATAATATCTAATGCCTTTTACCTTTGTGTCTGATGTCTTTATGGTCAGCCAGGAGAAGCCCTCCAGACTTCACGTAAATATGGTGAAGGTGTGTGGAAAGGTATTGCTGATGGCTGCTTTCCTTTCTGGCAAAGCACAAGCTCAGTATTTTTGGAGATCATGGGCCCCGGTCACACGGCAAAGTTGCCGCGGGAGAGGCACAGATGGTGGGCGGATTATCCGGGCGCGATCACACCCCAACATCTGGGAAGTGGAGCGCACCCGTGGCTTAATGCTGACAATGCACGTTAAAAAACTAGTACCTCCAAGATACTAGCAAACGTTTGCCATGGGCTGCCTCCAGACGCCGGTGGTGTGATCGCCCCGGTCCCTCGTTTACCCGCCGGCACTGAGGGAAGGACCCGTGGTGTGCTGCTGGCGAGTCTGATCACGTAATCGTGGGCCGGGGCAATTAGCCACGCCTCCCCCCCCCACACGATATCCGGCCCGTGTGACCAGTGCCATGCAAGATTTGTTATTTTGGCGTTCTAGTAATTTCAGAAATAGTGTTGGCTGTCCTTTGTCTGTCATAAAAGAAACAAAAAGTCTAAATAGGTGTGTTATGTCTTTCTGCAGCAGCAAAGTATCCCGTGACACACTGTATGAAGCAGTGAAGGAAGTCCTTCAAGGGAGTCTGGCAAAGCCACGCAAGTAAGAAGTTTCACTTACTTTGCACCATTGGAGCTCAAGATGGAATTCAGCCTGATCCTGTGTAGAGTGTTAAGCAAGGCTACAGTCTGGAGAACTGCATACTGGAGTTCACTCTTAGAACTTCAGGTCTATGGTGGGAAGGAAGGGGCAGCCTGGTGCACAGCTTCTTTGGCCACAGAGAGGGAGAAGCTGCCTAAGCACCCCACCATGTTTCTAGCAGAGCACGGCAAGTGTCTGTCATTCTTACTGAAACACCCAGGCTTACAGTTGCTTGAGGATTCCAATGTGATCACTTATAATTTTTTTTCTGTACTCTTTTCAGAGCTGGTGGAAAGTATAACAGCTAGATTTAAGTCTAGTAGCACTTTAGAGACCAATAAAATTTTCGGTGCATAAGCTGCTGTGAGTCAAAATTGACTGTATCTCATGAAGGGAGTCTTGAGTCTTGAAAGCTTACACCCTGAAAATCTTGTTGGTCACTAAGGTGCTACTGGACTCAAACCTAGCTGTTCTGCTGGGCACCAACACGGCTACCCTCTGGAGCATGCGCATAATTGCTAGCTTCTCTGTCTTGGTGTGTTGGGATTGAGGCATGTCATTTCTGTCAGGGAAGGCTCTACTTGGCCTCTGTAGCCACCCATGTAGTTCAGGTGTCCTTCCCCCCTCGGCAGATGGAGAGAAAGGACAGCTGTGGGTCATGCAGTAGGGTACCTGGGCAGGTGCTAGCCTGAGCATGCAGAGCTGAGAGCTCAGTGGAGCACTGCAGGATCCAAATCCCATTTCCTCCATGCCTTTGGAAAGGGAGCGGGGGTTGGTGGGACGTAACCTAGGGAGAGGAGTATAAGTGACTCCGCTTTACCTGCAACTTTGTTTGCACCACTGAATTCTAACAACTAGAAACTTGCTGTCTGCCATATAGATGTTCACACATCTTCTCCAGGAGTAATTACAACATCAGGTTCAAATAGCCGTAGACACTCCCCATTTCTTTAGTCTCCATTACACTGTCTCTTTGTAATTGTTTTTGATTCATTCTTTGTTTTCCTCAAGCATGCTCTGTTTGAAAGAAGTAAGAGTAGCCAGTGCCTGATGATCGAACCCTAAGTTACATAGAAAACAAGAATTCCTGGTAATCTCCCCCATGGTCATCAAGTTGTCAAAGTGAGGAAAGAATGGGTATCTTGCTCATCTCCCCCCTTCCTCCCATAATAGATGTAGTGCTTGGTTACTCAGGTTTATTGGTGTGTATTTTGTGAGTTACTTCTAAGCCAGACTTAAGTGTCTTTTTGTTTTTAGGTTCTTGGAGTCTGTGGAACTGCAGATCAGTCTGAAAAACTATGACCCGCAAAAGGACAAGCGATTTTCCGGAACTGTCAGGTTTGGCACCCACCCAGCATTCAGTTTGCACCCCTCTCCCTGTTGACAGACTCCTGTGTGCATTCTGTCCAGTGTGCAGCACATTGACTGCTAAAGAGCCAGGCAGCTGGGTGTAATGCTGAATTGCTTGGGTAGTTCAGCTCCTCCCACTGTAAAGTGGGTATGGCTGGACGGACCCCTACCCTGGGTCTTAAAACATGAGGGGAGGTGTGGGGAGGCTCTTCTGCTGATCCCACCGACCACTTTTAAGAAGCCAGATTAAACACTGGTGGATGAAGACTTGTGACTTGGTTGCGGTAAGGCCTTTCAGCTACAGATTTGAGTATTCCTCTTACATTTTGCATTGTTCAGGGAAATGGTGTGTTGATTTATCCATGCTGTCCTCTTTCCTCCCTACAGGCTCAAGTCTGCTCCACGGCCCAAGTTCTCAATCTGTGTGCTGGGGGACCAGCAGCACTGTGATGAAGCCAAAGCAGTGGACATCCCTCACATGGACATAGAGGCTCTGAAGAAACTCAATAAGAACAAGAAGCTAGTGAAGAAGCTGGGTAAGCAGAATTAGAATGAGACAAGTGGGGCCTGTGAGATTTGCTGAGGGGGAGGGAGAATCTCACCGAGCCCAATGTGGGGCTTGCTTTTTGCGCGGGGGGGGGGGGGGGGGCTGCTCTGAGCAAGCCAGCAGAGATTTTTCCACAGCCACTTTCACGCCAGACCCAGTGCAACCCAGGGGCTTTGCCACTACCCAGCAGCATACCCAGCTGCGCGGCAACCACTGGGCCCAGTGCAGCTCTCCAGCACAGCTGTTACCGCCACTAAGCCCAGAGGCAGTGGCATAGCCCAGGAGCCCTGCAGGGTCCACTGGCAGCCATGCAGCCTGACTCCCAGGTTGTCTCATGTGGCTTCCAGATGGAGCAGCCACCACTGGGCACAGCAGGGTTCTCAGGCTGTACTGCTGTGGGACTCAGTGCGGCTCCCGGCCTCCTCCAATTGCCGGAGGTAAGTTGTTTTACTTTCGGGGGAATTTAAACCCCCCCCCCCCATGTATTTTTTGGTAAAAAACATTTCAAGATTTTTCTGCACACCAGGGGACTCCCCAAGTGTGCAAAAATATCTGCTTACCCTCCGTGTGGCCCTGATCTGTGGATTTAGCTATCTGCAGATGAGGGCCATGGGTGGCGAATGGTATATCAATTTCTTGAAGTATGTTCAGAAGCATTGACAATATTGGCTTATAAAGTTTGGAGTCTAGGACCAATTGGAACACAGCCTCATTCAAGCAGCTAAATGCAAGGAAGTGAGTTAATTTGCCACTCTGCTAAGAGGCATTTCCTGTGCATTTCATGCCTGCATTGCATCTAGGGGAAAGCATGATAGCCCTGTTTGCTTGGAGTTTCAGCAGAAAACAACACAAAGGTCCCAGAATGTAATATGTTGTAGACCAAAGGCTTTCTTCTCCCTTGGAAGCATTTTTTAGCATGCACCCAACAGGGTTTTCCTATGTTGTTTCTGTTGCTGTCTTTAACCTTCTGGCATCTTAAGCTGTTTTTGATTTGGAGGCAACTTACCCAAGAGCAGGGATGCTCAGGGGCTTTTCTTATAGATGTGTGGCTTGAGCCCCTCCCCCCCCCAGTGCCATATGGTTAGATGGAGGTTGTTTTAAATAAATTATTTTAAAAAGGGATTAGACAGATTCATTGAAGAAAGATCCTTTAGTGGCTACTAGCCATAGTGACTAAAGGGGAACCTCCGCATCCTTGAGGCAGTACAGTTCTGAATACCAGCCTCAGCCTCTGTGCCCTGTTGTTGGACCTCTAGAGCAACAGGTGGCCACAGTGTGAAACAGAATGTGGGAGTAGATGGACCATTGGTCTGACCCAGCAGGGCTCTTCTTAAATACTCATGGTCTGGTTCTGACTTTAGCTTATGTACAACCAAGTCACATGAATATGATTGACTCCAAACAGCTATTCTAAGACGGGATTCACTTTTGTCAGTCTTCATTCAGAGTGTCTGTTGTGGGGAGGGGATCTCTCTCTCTCTCTCTCTCTCTCTCCCCCCCCCCCCCCCCCCCATTGCTGGTGGCTTCAGAAGGCATTGGCAGTGTTTTTTACAAGCCCGGAGGGTAATCCTCACTAAAGAACCGCATATCAATTTCTCTTTTTTTAAAAAACAGCCAAGAAATACGATGCTTTCCTGGCTTCTGAGTCCCTGATCAAGCAGATTCCTCGAATCCTAGGCCCAGGACTGAACAAAGCTGGCAAGTTCCCCTCTCTTCTCACCCACAACGAGAACATGGTGGCCAAGGCTGATGAGGTCAAGTCCACTATCAAGTTTCAAATGAAGAAGGTAAAACTCCACAACAACCTAGAACACCCAACTCCTGATAGTGGGGTTGTCATGATTTACGATGGCGTTGCTCTTGCTTATCAGGCTCCCTGCACTGAAAAGGAGGAACTGCACTTGTATCCATGGGATTGCTGCTAATATGCAAGAATGGGCAGAGTGATTTCTCCTGGTTTCCTGTTCCCACCGCATCCCAGAGTGCTGTGTAGCTTTTTGTCCATGCAAATCTCACAACCTTTAGCATCAGTATTCTAGAGGCCTCAGGGCTTCACTGGGAAGAGAGTTGCTGGGAAGGAACTGCATCCTTACCCACTCTGCAGGATCCAAGCCAAGAAGCCTACAAACACCAGTCCATTAACTGTAAGGACCAGAGCGAAATTTGACTCCCCCCCCCCCTTCAGAAGGCACTGAGTGGTGTAAAGCATAGTGAATTAGTTTATGAATTGAGCTGCCCAGATACAGTCCACAGAACTGTGTGTTTTTATACCTTGGCAGAGAGATGTGCTATATAGCATGTGTCAAAGCATCTGCCTTGGGAACATCTCTTTCTGTTTAAACAGTTAAACTTCTCCTAGAATCACAGAGTTGTAGGGAATTATCAAGAGCCACATTACATAGAATTGTGAGGGACTGTCTCAGTGGATTTTTCAGCAGATGCTCCTGTGACACAACCTTCGCTGGTCAGCTTTATCTCTGAAAACAGGCTGACTCATTCCTTAGAGTTCAGTTTGCTGTAGCCATTCACTTCTGGTTAGTGTCCTTTCAGTTGTGCCATAAATTATGTTAATCTTGGCCCACATACATTGCTAAAAGCAAGATTTCTATCCTGGCAACACCCCCACCACAGTAAATGCCATGCCAGTTCTGTAAGCAGTGTAGTCAGTTTTCCATCATTTATGCCACTCTGGGTATGATGGGGTAATTGACAAACTGGCTCACGGTTTTCAGTTCCATATGTTCTGTTTTTCCCCCCTTGCCTTGGGCCAGTCACTCAGCCTAACCTTAACCTACTTCACAGGGTTGTTGTGAATATAAAAATAAAGGGAGGAAAAAACAAATGTTCAGCATTTTTCAATCCCCATTGGAGTGAGAAGCAGGATGTATAAATACATCACATCTTTAGTTATACAGTTAATATTTTTCTCTGTTCTTCCAGGTGCTATGTCTGGCTGTGGCAGTTGGTCATGTGAAGTTGACTGAAGATGAATTAGTGTACAACATTCACCTGGCCATCAACTTCCTGGTATCGCTTCTGAAGAAGAATTGGCAAAACGTGCGGGCCTTGTACATCAAGAGCACCATGGGGAAACCCCAGCGCCTATACTGATGACAATATAATTGTTTTCCACTAGGTTACTCTGTGTGTGTCTTCTGGTTTGATAAAATCCTGATCCCCTGAATAGTTGGCTGTTTCGGGTTAAGCTGAGGTCTCTCTGCATGCCATTACCATTTGGTTATGTGCTTGACATTTGAAAATACATGCTTGGTCATCAGTCCAGAGTTAAGGACTTAAAGCAGAAAGGTCCTTACAAAATAAGACCTCTTTGGTTGTCAGCCACAATCATGCTAAGATGTGCACTGGCTGCCCCATCAAAAAGCACAGGAGAATGGGATAAATATAGTTGCCACCTGAGTAGTGCACTGAAACGGGGAGGAACACTGAAGAAGCAACATGGTAGATATAAGTAACTACCATTCTTAAATGAGATGCAGGAGGTTAAAACCTATCAGTTGTGGGCTGACGTATGAAATGATGTGTTCACAGAAGGTGCACAGAGTTTCCACGCATTCCTCTCTGTTCTTGCAGGCCTTTCCAGCTTCTGGAAGAACATTTCTGGGGTTGTGGTACCTGTTTGGAGGAAGGACCATGCTGGTCCTCTCGTCAGAGGAACAATACTGAGGCCCAAGAAAGGAAGGGTGACTTTGTGCCCTTTGCCCTCCTTGTTGCAGCACTCCCCACTTGGATAAGGCGTGGTTATTACCCCACACCACACATCCTGTAACCCTGGAAGTATAATTTCCAGGGGCTAGAAGGGCAACAGGAACAGAGAGAAGCTGGAAAATAAGAGTTCCATTAATGCCTCTTTGGATACAAGCCATCTAGTGGCTATGTGTCACAGAACAGGAAGAGGTACCAGGTCACCAACACAATGAGAAAGGAGGAGGGAGGGCTGAACCTAATCCATACCTCTTCTCATAGTTAAGCCTTTTGAACAAATTACCTATTTATCTAAGGGAGCAAAAACTGTGACCATGGCATGTACCACTAGAGGGAGTGTTAATTCTACTCTGGTAATACTCTTCCTTCTAGCAGCCACAGTGGCCACTTACATGTGGGGTGGGTGGCTAAAATCTTACAGGAAAGAAGCAGATAAGTTTTGTTGTTGGAGAGTATGTAGGGGCATAATCTTTCATTTAGTCACAATTTAGGATATGAGGGTGACTTCTGAACAAAGTCTTGTTTATTTCAATTGGAGTAAAATTGCTCAATTTCCCATCTAAGTAAAGGACAGATTCAGCATATATTTCCATCCTATGAAGTAGCCACGTACACCCACTCAGATGCTTGGTTGCATCAGCATTTAGGGATAGTGTTTTGGGGAAACATGGCATTCCCTGCCATTCCTTAGAATTTTGCTAGGCAGAAAGCACTATTTCGTAGCAAAAAATGGGCAGATGGTACATTTGAACAATCACATGCATTCAGTTTCCTGTGCTGGAGAACTACAACCAACTTGGAATAATATGGTGGCAACCTCCTAATGTTTCTCCTTAAGAATTCCCCTCTTCCATTTATACTTCACTTTACTCAGCCTTTGGGAATAGTTCATATTTTGTTAAAATATTCCACACATTAATAGGCGGTTCTAAGCTTAATGGGTGTAGATAAAATTATTATTCTACTAGGAGATTTACTGCCAGACAGTTCAGAGTCTGGTATCATGTTAAGTTGCAGACTTGAAGCATTCAGATAGAATTCTAAAATCATCCACACTAGGTTAATGTCACTGTACCTTTGTGAAGCAGAATTCTAAACTGGAAATTGTCAGACAAGATGGCACACTAATATGAACAGCAGAAGTGTCGTGAATTGATATGAAGGTGAAATAACAATTCCTGTCTTTGGCTTCCTTGTATACATGAAGCTGCGCTACACGGAGCCTGTTGGTCTATCAAAGTCAGTACTGGCTACTGGTGGCTGTTCTTAAGGGTCTGGTATAGAGGTCTTTGCCTATCTGATTCTTTTTGTCTTGATATGCCAGAGATGATTGTTAACAGTATTAATATATTGAACCTGGGACTTTATGCATGCAAACCAGGCGCTTTGCAACTGAGCCACTACCCTTTACCATTTGAAGTTTAGTGATTTTATTTTTACTATGCATGTTTTTAATCTGCCACGGTTTCCACCTGTAGAGTACTGGCAGGATTAATATACCCATCTTTGCATCTGGATGGGTAGAAGAGATCTGTCTCTTACTCAGGGCGGGTGGCCATGGCTGCATTTCAATTTCTGATCTAAGCACTGGTGATGTCTCCAACATGGTAACAGTATTTGGATATCTAAATTGTTATTATTTACAAAATTTATATCCTGCCTTTCTGCCCTCATCATGGCCACCAAGGCAGCTGGCAGATTAAAAACATGCATAGTAAAAATATCTTACAAAAACACTATTAAAACCAAGGTAAAATAGAAAGAACAATACAGAGCAGGAAGGAGGGATCACTGAGGAAATGCCAGCTGAAACAAACAAAGTCTGCCTGTTGGTGAAAGATGGCGGAAGAAGGGAATCGGCGAGTGGGGACTGGGGAGAGTTAAAAAGTTCTGAGAAGGCTGTCTCCAAGGATGCCACCTGCCTAACCTTGGAAGGTGGGGGCATCCTAAGCAGGGCCACGGGGCGACTAGTGGCTGGGTAGGTTAGTCATGGAGTAGACAGTCCTTCAGGTATGCTAGTCCCAAGCCCTTTAGGGCCCTTGAAGGTCAGCACCAGTACCTTGGATTGTGCTGAGAAACATTTGGGGCCAGTGTTGATGGGCCAAGACTGGAGTGACATGAAAGGCCAGCAGCCTTTCCCTAGTGTTGTCCCCAGCCATTATGGATGCTGTCTCTGAACATCCTAGTTCCGTTTAGTCATGTTAAACAGCCATAAGTCTGTTTCTCATGAATATGGACTGTATCCTAAAGTTACCTAAACTAGATCAAGCTAATTCATACCATAGTATTCCCATTACTAATGTTTGGGTATGAAAGTTGGACAGTAAAGAAAGCTGACAGGAAGAAAGTTGATTCATTGAAATGTGGTGGTGGAGGAGAGTTTTATGGATGCTGTGGACTGCCAAAAAGACAGATCATTGGGTTCCAGATCAAATCAAGCCTGGACTCTCCCTGGAAACTAAAATGAGCTGATTGAGGCTATCATCCATTGGTGACCAAAGTTTGGTCACATTATGAGAAGACAAGACCCGCTGGAAAAGACAATAGTTCTAGAAAAGTTGAAGGCAGCAGGAAAAGACGAAGACCCAGCATGAGATGGACGGACTCCGTAAGGGAAGCCACGAGGGGCCCCTCAGCCTGCAAGACCTGAGGCAAGGCTGTTCACAATAGGGTGTCTTGGAGGTCATTCATAGGGTCTCCATAACTGGGAAGCAACTTGACGGCACTTAACGCGCAAAGTAGTCCCCATCGCAGCATCTTGTGGCAGTTAATCCTTGTATATATTATGCACCCACTTTCACTCATCTGCCTTAAATATACAGCCCATCCGTTTCATTGCGATTTTAATGAATTAAATCTGAAGCTTTCTGCCTGCACAAGTGTCCTTGTATAAGCTGGTGTGCAAAGATTACTTCTTGCTGGCTGGTTGTCTCTTCCTGCTGCAAACCAAAATCCCTCCTGAAATGTTGCTATTGGTGGCAGAAGCAGCATTTCAAGGGGCATTTCAGGCTTTGTGGAGGGGTAGAAAAGTCACACTCCACAAGTAGATTTCTGCCTGCAGCAGCGTTTCATTGGCTCCAGGTGATATCCTTAGCTTCTACGTAGCGTGGAGATTTGGAGGCACTGTAGCATAAATATTTTCTTATTGACTATGTAAATTATAACGAAAAATAAAGATTAGATGCCCTTACACTTCACTATCAGGGTGTTTAGTTTTTAAGAACTGAAAGTGGTGTTTTACTAATAACTGTTGCATCTCTGAAACTTCTGGTTCAGGCATGTTTGTCAAAAGGACAATTATCCACATTTTTATCTGTTTGCACAAATTTAATTTGATACAGCCAAAGTAATTTGCTTGCTACTTAGTTGCCAATAGTAATTCAACTGATTTCTTTTTAATAACCTGCCATGATGGACTCAAGGCTGTAGCCAAAGTAGACTTCTACAACAGACTAAAGCCACGTGTTCAGCCAGTACTCTCTCCTGTCTGTGGTTTCAGTTAAGAATCAGCATGACCTGGAACATTATTTAATCACCTTAAGCTAGTTCCCTTTAAAGAAAGTTTATACCCTTAATATTTCGGTTACTGCCATGCCATCTGCCATTTTAGAATGCAGAAGATTCCATATGATGAGGGGACTATGGAATGAGCATAAGTAAGATGGTGGGGATTAGATTCCTCCCTGAACTCTGTCAAAGAAGCAGAGGTTTTGCAGCAAAAAAAAATGTAAGGTTTCCCAAAGAATGGCCACTTTGTGATGTATAGCTTTGCTCCACAATAGCGTCCTCCTCTCCTCCATTTTATCCTTGCAACAACCCTGCAAAGTAGGCCAGGCTGGCTCAAGATCACCCGGCAAGTTTCCATGGCAGACTTGGGGGTTTGAACCTGGGTCTCCCAGATTCTAGTCTGATAGTAACCACTATACCATGCTGGCTTCATGTCAATTTTCTCATGGCTTATGCTGAACAAATAAATTTTTACATTACTTATCAGATTGCTAATTGAAAGAATTCTGGGGAAGCATTCAAAACAAGATTCTGACTCTGGAGAAGTGTTTTACAAACTGCTACAAAGCCAGACTTTCCATATTTCAGTTGTGCTACTGGCATAAACAGGGAGAGGGGTGAAATGAATATGTTTTGGGACACCAAAGAGCTCCTTGCGAGTCATTTGTTAAGGACAACTCTTCATGCAGTTGGCCCTGCATATTCTCTGCGCCAGGAGTAGTTTTGAAGAGCCGTGTCTTTATGTCTGATCGGAGAATGTTGAGTATGGCACTCCAAGGAGCCTGTGAAGTTCCTTTCTAACCAGTCACAATTGCTTATCTTGATGTACAGGCAGGCATCATTGCAACTTAAATCTGATTAAAAGCAACAAAGCTGCTTTAAGGATGGATTGCATAGGAGGTAGAAACCGTGTTGTGGAAACAGTGCAGAGATGAGGAAAAATAGGTTAGAAAG